CCTTTTGTGTTCAACAGAAGAAAGAAACAGAGGATGAGTAAATGAATGCTGTTTCATTTCTGACAAAACTAGCCCTTGAACTGAATAAAAGTGTGTGTTTCTTCCAATGAAAGGTTGCGCGCGTTAATGAATTCCAAATCTGAGCGCTCCCTCAATTAGCATGCAATACAATGCTCTCCAAAGTCACAGCAGATTTATCCTCTCTGCTAATGAGAGACATCGCGTCGCGTTCCTGAAGCATCTTGACATTCCAGCGTGATTGCGTATATATATCTGAGAGCTTTATGAATTGTGTACACATTTAAGAAGACTGGTTATTGTGTGTACACATGTATTTAGTGTGTGTTTGACAGCACTAGCATGATGGACTCTGTGTTTTCGGCTGGTCCAAAAGCATTGGCAGTGAACCAAGAGTTAGATTCGCAGCATTCTGATGTGGCAGTGACCCGGTGCTGACTCAACGTGTCCTCCAAACACATCCAGAGCAGAGGAGAAATATTAGGACTGGTATCTCACACTGCAGATTGCTACACACTTACACAAGGACAGACAGTTAGAGGTCCTGTGAAATTAAATTAACTTGTTTAAGATGTTCTTATGAGTATTGCAGCTGCTCAATATTTAGTTTTCATGATAATAGTACAGGGGCGTCACGGTGGCGCAGTGGGTTACACAATCACCTCACAGCAAGAAGGTCGCTGGTTCGAGCTGCGAGGCGATTTAGGGTCAGTTGGCATTTCTGTGTGGAGTTTGCATGTTCTACCCATGTTGGCGTTGATTTCCTCCGGGTGCTCCAGTTTCCCCCAAAGTCCAAATCCGCTGTAGGTGAATTGGGTAGGCTAAATTGGCTGTTATGTATGTGTGTGAATGAGAGTGTGTGGGTGTTTCCCAGTGATGGGTTGCAGCTGGAAGGGATTTCGTTGTGTAAAACATACGCTGAAATAGTTGGCGGTTCATTTTGCTGTGACGACCCCTGATTAATTAAGGGACTAAGCCGAAAAGAAAATGAATGAAAGATAATAGTATATGCAATATCCATATCGAAGTGCAATCCATTAAGTTAATTGAATGTGCTAAGTATTTGAATGCATAGATCTAAATCTATGCATTCTAATCTTGATCTAAATCTGACCAATCAGATGGGGCCTTTACTATCTTCATCCTCACCTCTCCTATAGTTGGTGTTAGATTGAAAATAAATACTAAATACTAACTTATTGAAAATGCCAATAAGAATCAGAATTTCCAATGAGGTTTTCAGTCATTCGTAATGTTATAAAGTTATAAATGACCTTTTTTTTGCTTTAATTAGCTCAGAAAATACTTTTGCCTGCTTATTTTAGCATGATCGTTACATCAAACAACTAAAGTTTTGACAAAATTGCATTTTGCAAGTTTGTTATATTGTAAGAAATATTTTTGTCCAACACAATAGGAGATATTTTGGAAAATGGTCTTAGCTGGCACCTATAGACTTTGATTGTATTGTTTTTGTTTTCACTTTATGTAAATCAATGAGTGCCAGCATTCTTCAAAATATCTTCTTTTGTGTTTAATGGAAGAAAAAAGTCATAAAGGTTTGATGATGTGTTCATTTTAATTTTTGGCCTGAACTATCCTTTTAAGGCAGTGATCAAATGAAGTCTGTGTAGGAAGAATAGGGTTTTTCTAGATGTATAAAAAGCACAGTTTACCATTTTATGAAGTAATACTGAAAAATCCCTTCACTTGAAATGAGCCAATCTATAATGATTAATGTTATGATGTCATAAGCATGAGATCATTCTACAGCCACATTTATAATCAACATTGTATTCGTCTGGAGTAAGTACAATTAGTGTTTTCTTAATTTTCTAAATGCATTAATACATTATTTAAATGGTGAAGATGCATTCCATTTCTAAATAATATTTATAATATATGTAGAATGTCAAAAAAGACTTCTATTTCAAATAAACGCTGCATTTTTTTATTCATATTCATTAACATCTTTTAAAAAAAAAGACGCTTTACATTATTTTATAGTTAAACATGGTTTACAATGTATGGTTTACGTTTATTTATGGTTGAAATATTAGAAAGAACAACAATAATAATAATATTAATAATAGTAATCATCGTCACCATCACTAATTAAATAATAATAATAATAATAACTATTTTTTAAGTATAACACATACATTTTTTTTGGATTTATGAAGAATTGTGACAGTGAAGTCCAGATTAATGGAGCTGAGATTTTAGGTTTTAATTACAGAAATAAATTGCATTTTAAAATATATTTAGAAAGAAAACATTTTTATTATTAGTACTGTTATTTTTAATATTATTAACAATAAAATTATTATTAGTGTTGGGCAAAAACAAATTTATCTTTATTTATGCATCCAAATAAAAGTTTGTTTTAACATATGCATGCATATTTTTTTATTGCTTATAACACCCTTATTAGAAAAATACACAGAAATAGAAAATTTACATTTATATTTAAAATATATACACCACCTGACAAAAGTCTTGTCGCCGATCCATGTTTTAGAAACAGCAAATAATAACTTGACTTCTAGTTGATCATTTGGTATCAGAAGTGGCTTATATGAAAGGCAAACGCCTCTAGATTGCATTTATTTTACCAAAATAAATTTTTTAATGATTTCATTAGGACAGTAAGGTTTGGATATGCTTAGATAAAAGTTGTCACTTAACATTATTAGAAATAGTGTACAGAATAGAATATAAAGTCATGCTGCAGTGGAAAAAGAATGAATATTGTGTATGACTCCTATGAGCTTGAAGGACTGCATCCATACATCTCTGTAATGACTCAAATCACTTATTAATAAAGTCATCTGGAATGCCAAAGAAAGCGTTCTTGCAGGAGTCCCAGAGTCCATTAGAATTCATCTTCAATGTCTCCACCTTCATCTTACCCCAGACATGCTCAATAATGTTCATGTCTGATGACTGGGCTGGCCACCTTGACCTTCTTTGCTTTCAGGAACTTTGATTTGGAGGCTGAAGTATGAGTAGGAGCACTATCCTGCTGAAGAATTTACCCTCTCCTGTGCTTTGTAATGTAATGGGCAGCACAAATGTCTTAATTCCTCAGGCTGTTGATGTTACCATCCACTCTGCAGATCTCGCATGTCCCCATACTGAATGTGACCCCAAACCATGATTTTTCCTTCACCAACTTGACTGATTTCTGTGAGAATCTTGGGTCCATGCGGGTTCCAATAGATCATCTGCAGTATTTGTGATGATTGAGATGCAGTTCAACAGATGAGTCAGCAGAAAAAAAATCGACCTTCTGCCACTTTTCCAAATGATCAACTTATTATTTGTTGCTCTTACAACTGGGATCGACGACAATACTTTTGTCAGGTAGTGTACATATATGATACAAATGATATATAACTTTAAATATTACAAATATACTGCTCAACCTAAACAGCTTGTTTTTTTTAGCTATTCCTTTTCTAAAGAGATAATTTGCAGTATATACAGTACAGTGAGACAAGAACAGTAGCAAAAACAGCTTGTTTAATTCTAAGAGTCACAGAGAGCGTGGAAAGCAGTCATAAAAAACAAGTGACGACATGATAAAGGGACTCAGGGGAGCAAAATAAAATGCAAAAAGTGTGGAAAAGGCCTCTTTAAACTAAACAATCTTATTTACTAGAGAATAACAACAAGCAGGGGAGAGAAATACTACAGATTCCCAAGACGATAAAAAGAAAAAAAAAGGAAAATATCTGCATAAATCATATGAATGCACAACGAAAATCTCTTTCAGAGCTTCTTATCTTCTCTTTAAAACAAAACTGTGAAAATGGATTCTCTGTAGAGATAAAAGCAATCATTTCACTTGAACTTTATCCATGTCATCTTTGGACAGCAACACAATGGCAGTCAGTGTTCCAGTTTGTTGCAGTGTTAAAAGGCAAGTGGGTGAAATTTGTATCATATAGATCTACTATCGTATGTCCGGATGTTTCGTAAGCCTTCAAATCCTAATTGGGTTAATGTCACAAAAGCATTCATGCACTCCAATATTAGCAGGAAAAAGAAATGATTAAAGTGTGTCATTAAAAAATGTATGCAAGAGAGCACATTCACATCCCATACTGTGAAGGCATTATTAGTGAAGGATGGTTCACCCAAAACTGAACGTTTGCCTAGAATTTACTAAAAAAACGAAACCAAACAAGCTGATATTTGAAAATATTATTATTAAAGAACATTTTTAGCTGAAACTGCAGTCTTTGGTGGTTTTTATTATGGATATTTTTGCATCAGTGTTTAGTGTAATTTGTTACACAGTAACTACTGTAATTAAATTACTTTTCCACTAAAAAAGTAAAGTAAGAGATAACTTTTTTATTTTTAGGTCACACGTAATAGTTACATAGGTTTAATTTTTACTTATAATGAACTTGCTTTAAATACTGTAAATCAATGTAACATTTCTGAATAAAGTCTATATGCTGCTAAACAACGACTACGTTTACATGAACATCAGTAATCAAATTATTTGCCTTCATCTGAATAAGACAATAATATGATTAAGGCTTTGCTTTTTGAATGTTCCTGATTTTACATGTTATAGAACATAGATCGATTAACGTCACTGCGTCAAAAATTGCTGCTTACATGGTCGACTCTTAATCAGAGTATTGTCTTAATTGTACTAAAATCGGATTATTGGTGTCCATGTAAACATACTCATTGTTCCTTTTGTCAGACAATTGCACAAGATTAAGAAACACTGAAATGAGTAAAAACTTAACGCCAATATTTTTGAAATACGACGTCATTACTTTGAAATGTTTCATTAGTACTTGGTAATAATAACTTTTTTGAAGTAACTTACCAACAATTGAAAGAAATATTAATTTAATAACATTATTAAATCCCTTTAATGAAAAGTGTTTGATGGGTTGATGTGATAATCTTGTTTGTGTTTGATGATAGAAACAGGTATGAAATGTTAAACTTACATCCACTTCTCCTTGGTCAATCACATAGAAGTTGTCTCCTTCATCACCTGTGAAAGAAATCAGAAAATCATAAGATTACTCAAATCAGCCAACGTCACAGAAAATTTACACCCAACAATCTGTTTTTCTGCTCAGAAGTGAAAATATCAATCATTCAGTTTTGGGTACACATTTTTTGTAGGTTTTAGGCTCTTAAATCTCATTAAGATTGTATTTATTTAATAAAAGTAAAAAAACAGTAATATGCTGAAATAATAGTACAACGTAAAAATTCATTAATTTTCCTTTGGCTTATTCCCTTTATTCCTCATGGGTTGCCACAGTTGAATGAACCACCAATTATTCCGGCATATGTTTTACGCAGTGGATACCCTTCCAGCCACAACCCAGTACAGGGAAACAACCATATACACTCATTCACACACATACACTATGGTCATTTTAGTTTATTCAGTTCACCTATAGCGCATGTATTTGGACTTGTGGGGAAAAACGGAGCACCCGGAGGAAACCCACGCCAACACAGGGAAAACATGCAAACTCCACACAGAAATTCCAACTGGCCCAGCCGGGACTCGAACCAGCAACCTTCTTGCTGTGAGGTGACGGTGCTAACCACTGAGCCACCACAACCTAAAATTTGCCATTTTCTATATGCATTAAATTTAATTTATTGCTGTGATTTGTTCAATGATTTGAAGTGTATGCCTTCAGTATCAGGATCCCTTAGAAATTATTTTGAAAAGATGTTTAGATGCCCCCCCTATCAAAAAAAAAAAAAAAACATTTATCATCACAATATGTTACAAATTTCATGGTCACCAGATTCAACTACGTTCAAGGACTTTTTTAAAGCACCTTTGAATTAAAATTAAGTTATTGATACCACATCATATGTAGCACCATGAAGAACATATTTGACTTACACTTAATATTTACATTAATAATGTTAGATTAATTTAAAAAAAAAATGACTTTTTTAAACAAGTCAAGTTCGAAGAACTTTATTAAAATTTGTTGAATTTAATACTGGGAATATTCACATTCACTTTTGGACATATTTATAAAATGTGCATTATTTGTCATTGTTATTGTACATTAAACATTTTTAAATTAAGAATTTCTCAGGGCTTTATTTTAACAATCTAGGCGCAAAGTTTACAGAGCAGGGCGCAAAAGCATTAAGGGGCGTGCCTGAATCAACTTTTGCTATTTTAAGGATGGAAAAATACACTCTGCGCCGCAGCATACGGTCTAACAGGGTTGTCCTTGTTGAGTTATGGGTGTGTTTTGAGCATAACATGCATTAAACCAATAAGAGTCTCATCTCACATTTTCTTTAAGAGTCAGTTCTGTCACGCCATGGCTCATTTGCTATTTACATGGCAGACTTTGTAAGTGGAAAAGCTGAACGCTTCACTAGCAAGAAAACAGTTAAACAGAACATCTGCAGTGTGAGGATAAAGAATGAGCCTCCTCCAATCGGCCTTTACTTTCTCTTTACTTTTACTCTTTACTCCTTTACTTTAGTGGATAAGGAAACGGTGTTGTACACACTCCACTGAAAACACATCCATTAGCCTACATATTTAATTTCATTTGTTAAGTGTAAAGATTTGTTTCAAAACTATTTCTAAATTCAGTTCTAATTTTCAGCAAGCGAATAAACGAACAATAATAATGAAGTGTGGTAATAAAAACTGCTATATCCAAACACACTTCCGATTTTTTACCCCATATGGTGAGGCAGACGTCTTATAAACCTGACAGGTGGACAAATCTAAACTTGTTTTTATTAAAACAAATATAAATATGCATATAATAAATACTACTATTAATAATAATAGCATTATACAAATGCAAATTGTCATGAATAAACTAAAATTTGGTTTTTAAACCAGGTTTTAGATGGTCAATGGTTCCTATATCAGTTCCTCAAAATAGCACCAACGATGTGCCTTAACACAGTGGTCCCCAACCACCGGGCTGCGGACTGGTACCGGTCCGTGGAACAATTGGTACCGGGCCACATAAGAAATAATAAATTATTTGTGTAGAAAATATTCCCCCCACGACTTGGTTTCTTCTGCTCACCCCCGCCATCTCACGTGAAATGGACTATGCCAAAATCCACCACGGAGCGGAAAGAACAACTGAATATAGCTCATTGGTGGTTGTTGATAGTTTAAAGTTACAAAACAGGTATTATAGAGTCCAACTCAGCAGAGCATATAAGGACTGTGCATATATGTGTGCGTGCATCCCTAAGCAAGTACCCGAAATCATTGCAATATGTATCTATATGGAGTTTTACATAATCATACTCATTAGGGCTTTAACATGCCAATGCATACATTTAATTTGGCTATACGGTTGTATTATTGTTAATATGGTTATCAGTTGAAATGTTTGGCACAGATGTGATGTATTTGATGCATATAAACCTTGATTGAAACATAATCAGATCGCGATAGTGCATAGAGTTGTTCATGATTAACCTGGATGCACGAGCGCAGTAGCTGTGTTCACGTGAAGAACCGTTGACCGGTCCACGGTGAAAAAAAGGTTTGGGACTACTGCCTTAACACACCTTCTTTTCAGACCAGCACACCCATGAGTCCACAAAGTGGTGCAAATGAATTTGCTATTTAAACAGCGTGGCGCAAAATGGGAAAATTACTGTTGTGCAGGTCTGAAAATAGCAACAAATCACGGCATACACGTCATGCACCTTATTGTGCCAGGTGTATGACAGAGCCCTCATTGTTTTTGTTCTGTTTTTTGACAGCAGCACAGTACAATTGCAGAAATAACACCATAAATAAATTTTATTTCAAATTTAAGCACTTTCAAAGATCTGTGTTTGTTTTTAAGTACTAGGACTTTCAACAAGTGTGTGAAAACCTCATACGTTCTTCTTCAGGATACTTTGAAAAAACAGAACGTTTAGCAAAAACTATTAATTTAACTTAAAAACAGTATTATAAATGTCTTTACTGTCACTTTGATTACATTTAATGCATCCTTGCCGAATAAATGCATCAATTTCCTTTTACCGCAGCCATTGAAGCCTGCATTAGCATCTAGATGACCCCACAGCTAAGAAAAAATAGACTAAACAGCCACAAAAAAAGAGAAAGAACATCCCATTTCATTTTCATGGGAGCTTTAAATTCAACATGGAAAGGAGGAAAGGATAAATAATTTTGTCTCCTTCCCAGATTCCAGCTCTTTCCGACTCCCCATTTCCCAACACCACACACACACACACACACACACACAGACACACACAAACACACCGAGAAAGAGACAGATGTGGATATCAAAGATAAAAGATGGCACTTTAGCAGTTTAAAAGTGTCAGCACCTCTTCTCGGAGCAGTGTCATCTAAATGATTCCCAGCCTTCATCCTCTACAGCTCATTTGAGAGTTTAATGGAGGTCTGGGTGTGCCAGAAGCCAACATTTCCAAGTTAAAGGCCACTGCAGTGCACATTTCTGGAGCTTCAGAGGCTCTTTGATGTCTTTGAGTGTGTGTTGAAATTAGCGTTTGGGCTCCTGGTAGCGAGTGCATGTGTGTGTGTGTGTTAAAAGAGTTAAAAGAGCCCGTGATCCGTGAGTTCATGCGGGTTCACCAGGCTAATTAACGGCGAACACACTAAGCGCTCGTAAATCACATAAGCAATTTATCTTAACACACTCACTGATGGCGAGTGCCCTCTCGCTCACTCACACACACACACACACACTTGCCATCTCTCCCGCTCTTTCAAGCCATTCAGCTCATTTTTCTTAGTATTGTTCCTGTCTTCCTGTCTTTTATCACCTCTGCTCTGAAGTTTCTGCTTTTGGGCCAACAGATCCTTAAGTCACAGAGTGCAGGCAAATATTTGAGGAGAACAAAACACACACATGCTCACTTCTACACACAGGCATGCATGCACGCACACACATATGTGCACATTACACACACACCTGCCCAGAAATGCACACTTCTGCACACACACATGCACACTTTGACCCATAGGCACACACACGATTGTACACACACACATACAAGCATCTACAGTAAATCCACACACGCACAAATAATTATATACACACTAATACACATATATTTCTATGCACACATTTCTACACTCACATGCACTTTTACGCACAGAAACACACACACATTTCTACAAACGCATGCACACTTTACACATAGATGCACACAGACACACACACATTTATGCTCATACATTTCTACACACATGCACTTTACACAAATGCGCACGCAGATACACATGCACACACACATTTATGTTCATACATTTCAACACACACGTGCAAGCTTTACACATAGACCCACACACACGAACACTTATACACAAACACACACTTATACACACCGTTCCATACACACACTTATACACATTTCTACACGCACATGCAGACTTTACTCACACAGGCACACCTAACACACACACACACACACACACACACACGCTTATACACACACATTTCTACACACACACTTATACGTTCATTCATTTTCCTTATGGCTTAGTCCCTTAGTTTCCGTAATGAACCGCCAACTTATCCAGCATATGTTTTACGCAGTGGATGCCCTTCCAGCTGCAACCCATCACTGGGAAACACTCCCATTCACACACATACACTACGGACAATTTAGCTTACTCAATTCCCCTATACCACATGTCTTTGGACTGTGGGTGAAACCGGAGCACCCGGAGGAAACCCACGCCAACACGGGGAGAACATGCAAACTCCACACAGAAATGCCAACTGACCCAGCCGGGACTCAAACCAGTGTCCTTCTTGCTGTGAGATGATTGTGCTACCCACTGTGCCACCATGATGCCACACTTATTCACACACACATTTCTACACACACACAGACAGACACACACTTGTACACACTGCAGAAAAAAATATGAATAGATCTAATACAGGTATGTGCCAAAAGGTTAGGATATCGAGGAAAAGTCCATTTATTTTAGTAATTTGTTTTTAAAAAGTGAAACTTGTGTGTTATATTATTTCA